AGATGCACAAACGGTTTGATAAGAGTCGGAGCATGAGTGAAATTATGACTAAAATGACTATGCTGATGCTGACGCGAAGGTCTCTCATATTATGTAACGAAAATATTGTCAATGTATTAATTTAAAGTTGGAGCCGCAGGCGCAAAGACAGTCACAGAAACAGAAAGGGAAAAGGAGAGAGAGAGCGAAAGATAAATAAGAAAGATATAATCGTTTAATAAATTAAAGCCAAATAAGGCTATATATGATTATTTGTGTATGCACGCAAACTGAAAGCCAAAGATGATCATCAGTCTTAACAGACTTTGTAACCAATAACTTAATCGCTGGCGATGATGGTAGTGCACGTGCTTACCTAAAACAAAAAACCTTGCAAATTATGCAATTCTCATTGTGCTTTTACGGAAATTTAAATGATGGGATAAGTAATTATCCACTCCTCTCTCTCTTTCTTTCTCTCTCTCTCTCTCTCTCTCTCTCTCTCTCTGTTTATGATTCTTCCGGATGTTTTGTATGTAGGGGTCATCCCATGTTATATTACGGTGCATGCAGTTATTGTACTTTGCTAGCTTATGCAATAATTATTATGGACCGAAACTATCGTCGCGCACAGAAAGACTATCTAATCTTGCAATAAGGTTGCATGAATTCAGTTATTAAACAATGACGATAATTTGACAGATAACGTAAACGTACAGACAACATTGTTAAAAATATATGATTAGTTAAGAAACGGTAGCTTTCCTAACGGCAACTTACGGAGTCTATATACGAAACCGAACAAAACTGGAAGACAACTTGTTCCACAAAATTCGTGGAATTTTAGAATCATGCTATATGTACAAACGCTAGCTAATGCATTTATAAAAGGATGCACGTAGACAGTTCTTTTCATTTATCTGAATGTTTTTCCCTCTCTCTCTCTCTCTCTCTCTTTCCCTTTTTAATTTGAGGCACTCACGCCCAAATCTAAACGAAACATTTTTAAAATAAATTTTTGGAAGAATCCGTAGCGAATACAATGAACATCAGCATGATTTCGACAATGTTATCATCATCATAACCGCTATGAAGGAGAGCGTGTATAGCAATAGGAACGCAGTAGTCTTATCATATATTCTATTGTAAAATTTTAAACATATATGCTATAGAAAATGGCTGCCAATCGATTACATTAAGGTTAACTGCTTAGCATTAGTAATCAGTGTTTGTTAAATGGAAAGTACTGTCGTCTGTGGTCTTCAGCATAAACTGAAATTTGTTCTTATGGTATAAAATGCCGTCATCATCATCATCGTCATCATCATCATTACCATCATATTCGCAATTTATATTGTTATCTGAAAATGTGTACTCAAAAAAGAAAAACGAACGTATGGTTTTTTTTTCCATTTCCATTTTTTTTGTTTTTTTTTTTTTTGTTGTTAAACGTTATACCCGAGAAGGCGAACGCTTGCAATGAAATAATCTTTACTGTCATTTGGTTCGTTGGTGGCTCTTATGCAAAAAAAAAAGAAAAAAAAAATTTAATATGCTATGAGTTAGCAAATACGCGAAAAAGTTGCAAAATTTTATATGACAACTAATATCAACAGCACTACTGGTGGTACCATTAGCGCACTATCGCCGCCAAGTACATAGATGCGTTATTTTCGACTTCAGTTTTATATGCATGACACTCTAAATTCTGGTACTGTTTATACACGAACGTGCTCAACTAGGCAATGAAGTGTACGTCTATTACTCTCCGAACATAAGAGGTTTGCTTGGTTAGCGTGGTTGTGCCACTTACCAGGGTGGTGGTACGTAAAATTTTTGATGCCGTAAAAAAAAAGAAGGAAAATAATCATAATAAAAATAATAAGAACTTTAATGTTGTCTAAAGCAGTCATAGTTGGTAAGAGAGTAATACTTTAAAAGACTTTTGTTAAATATGTAAAAAGATGGTGGTAGTGAATGAATGAAATGAATGAAAGAGCGAATGCTTAAACGGCGCATATTGATACTCGGATACGTTTTGGTTTATATTTATATTTCATAATCATTATCAATGATTGATTAACTCGTATACATGGTATACTTAAAAAAGAAATGTCTATTGATTAGGGGGCTTTTCATTATTACAAAGTAAAAGTAAATAAATTATCTAAACTGTAACTTACTTTCAAAACCAGAAAATTTCACACAATCAAAAAAAAAAAAAAAAAAAAAAACCTTTAGATTAAAAGGTAACGAGTGAACCAGACCAAACCGACCGGTCCAAAAGGCAATACATATTTTTCATATTCCACTAAGTCTGGAATCTCGAGACTGGGATATCATTTCAAAGCTATTTTTAAGAGACTATTTAAAATTAATTAGCCGTTAGTTCAGATTAGGACAAGGCTAGAAATATAGAATTAATTGCGAGGGAAAGACAAGACTTTTTTTTGTGATAATTTTTGTTCTGTTCTTTACGTTCACGGTATATGTAGAGCTCCTGTTCAACATCGGACTTCATCATCATCATGTCCCTAACATGTAGTTGTATGTTCAAAATAAATTTCACGACATCTCGTATATATGCTGTATATGCATACGGCGAGATAATAACATATGCTGAGTATCAAAACTTTCGGCCTTTACTTTATTAGAAGGTATCCCTCCCCCACTTATTCTTTTGCACTTTTTCTTGCATTTATTTTATTCAACTCTAACAACACATATAAACGTTTACCTTTACACATATGGGAAAACGAGCAGTCAATCGTATGAATTCGAGATAATTGCTAAGAGGAAACAAAGTGCTTTTGTTGATAACTTTGCTGAAGTTGGCATTGTTTATATTGTCGTATGTACGTACATACGTACGCATGTACGTACATGTGTATAACTTGGAGTATGTAGGTAGTTGTACTGCTAACAACAGAATCATAAACAATTATAAAAGACGACGTATAGATTGGCAAATTGTTTTTGCAATTTACGGAAATACCGCCTACGTATACTTTCTTTTAACATTAAAACATACATATTTGTGTGATGGCTGCTTACGTTTGTTTATGAATTTCATAAAAACGAGTTGCAAAGTTTTTAATAAATTTTTCAGAAACATCTTGTAAGATAACGGACAAACATTGTTAAAATTTATTTGTAGTAATGGCGCCATTTTTACAAATGTGACAAAAAAAACCAAATAATAAAAAAAGGGGGGGAAAAAAAAAACAAAAGTAACGCAAGCATTTGAACATTAACACATTTATAATAAAAAGACACAAATAGTTTTTTAAAAACTATACACATTTCACAGAAACAGCAGAGACCTATGCAGCGCCAGAGTAGACAGCCAGTGTGCATAAAGAGATACTTGTCAGTTATGCTGTGTAATTGCTGCTGTTGCATACACCTCGTTGCAAAAAAAAAAAAATTTATTCCAGTCAAATATTCAGTAAACTAGAGAAACCATAGAGAAGCCAGTAATAATGTGGCTTCAACAACACTTGTCGTTTCTTTTTATGGCACCATTAGGAATGTGATTGCTATAGAACTCTCAATTCTTAGGTTATCTTTGTCCAAACTTCGTATCTCCGTTAGACACTTTGTCGTTAACGCCATATAAACGCGCACAGGGTTTGTTACTTATCAAAATTGTAAATAAGCATATAACTAAATATGCATAAGTAGATAACGCTGTCTGCATAAATAGCGTGGTTTGTCTCTCTCTCTGTGCAATAGAAAGAGCATTAAATAAATGTGTAAAGAAGAGAATTTAAGAACGTTTCAATAACACATCGTTTTTGCAAAACGAATTTATCAGAAACGAACACTTATGCAACTATTATTCGTAACTATGTAATATCAAGCAATTCTTTAAAATTTTCTTATTATTGCAAAATGCAATTCACTTCATTACATTACCAAATACAGAGTGTCTCGAATTTCGAACAAAATTTAAAATTTTACGCCATTTTTGCGGTGAACTATGAAAGTGTTTATTAACAAATTAAGGGAGATGCGATCAACTAGTGGACTTAAACGCTCTGGCCGTTAGGCAACAGAGTGTTGCTGGCAGTCGAGAAATATCATATCGATATCGTAAACCAAATTTTGGGATTTTTGGGGAATCTATCTATAATATATTCTCATGCTTCTTTCTCTTTTGCTTCTTTATGTTTACAAATTTTAATTGATTTAAGCACTGAATCCTATTGACCACGCACGCATTGACGTAAAGAATTGAGGCGTATCATGGAAATTCGGCAACATTTGTGCAAAACGGGATATTAGTCATCGCAAATTTCCATAAGAGGGCGTATGTGTCGATATAGCCTTTGAAATAGTTTACAGGATAAAGGATTTTGTACTATATAAAACCTATATTATATATTTTAAGAATCAATAATTATAGGTCCTTGCATCTATTTTGTTCATCGACATCTAATGGTGAAAC